CCCCCTCCTTGACAGACGCAATGGGAGGAGTGGGTTCAGTTTTTTGGCATTTTTTATTCAAGTGGATCCACGGGAGTCCCACCGCATGTGAATGTGCGCCTACCAACATGTCAAAACTTTTTTGGCAAAGAAATTTATTCTTTTATCTTAATATAATGATGGTTATTACTGAAACTACCATCGTATATGGAGATGCTAGGATAATTAGCAAGTACGCCAATACTTATAATTTGTAACCAGCATAGCACGTTTGCTTACAATGATAGGCATCATAAAAACCATCGTTGCATTTGCAACAGTTAAAGACAGTTAAGTACTTTGTTAACCATTAGTGTGTGTGTGTGACTGACTTAAAGAGACCATAATTAGAACTTTCCATAACACCAGTTGAGATGACAGTTTCTAGTCGCCAACAAAGAATCCTTGTCGATCAAATCTTGTAGTTTAAGAACGGAACTTCAAAAGAATATGACTACGTTTATAAGGAGATCATTTATACCCAACAGCCCCGAAAAAGATGAAGTCCTTCAATTTAGGACGAGTGATTTCCTACTCGTACTTAAGACTAGAAACCAAGAACTCCAAAATCTTTGTTCTATAAGTGTGATATTCCCTAACGAAAAAGATATCTTTTTCGTTTAGGACGAGTGATTTCCTACTCGTACTTAAGACTAGAAACCAAGAACTCCAAAATCTTTGTTCTATAAGTGTGATATTCCCTAACGAAAAAGATCTTTTTCGTTAGGGAATATCAAACTTATAGAACAAAATCTTTCGCACTCGCGGATTGGACTGCTAGTTGCAAATCAGATACTAGAATGTCATTCTAGAATAGATGATTGCTGACAAGAGGTGCTAAGTCTCATGTTCTTTTTCGTTAGGGAATATCACACTTATAGAACAAAATCTTTCACACTCGCGGATTGGACTGCTAGTTGCAAATCAGATACCAGAATGTCATTCTAGAATAGATGATTGCTGACAAGAGGTGCTAAGTCTCATGTTGACTAGATATGGAGATAAAATTGGGTGTATGAAGGAATTGGGCTACCCTAACTAATATTTAAACCTTTTGAAATAGAATCCTGAGTTCCAAAATCATATTGAAGTTATGACACATTATATAGCTACATGGATGTGCATAATAAAAATACCCAACTCGTGTAGAAATCTTAACAAAGGTGTTGGGCCTATTCTGTGATGGTGAACTCTCAAAGTAGTGGAGCTCCATGTAACACATCTAAGGTGATAATCATTCGTGATCACAGGAATTAGGTCACCACTTGATTGTGACCATGATGATCATGTGTGAGCCATTATGATGTGCCAGTGCCAACAAATATCTCTGTCGGCTAGACATGGAAATGATCTTTCATTCATAGTGAGATCAACTACTTTACTTAAAATAGTTAACTTGGTATCGAACCACAAAGTCCCAATGCCCAGATCCAAAGCAGCTATGGACACTTTACTGTGCACACAGTAAACAATAGCAATGAAGAAAGAGTGGAACAATTGCACAGTAAAACACAAGGCCAAAACTAACACAAGGAAGGACAATAGCCATCATATGTGTGAGAATGTTTGAATATACAGCACAAGACAAGTACCTATATAACTGCAGAAATTTAAAAGGTTGCATCAAAGTGAAGCATTGCCAAAAAGGTGTAATCTGTCAAGATTACCCATATACTATGAAAATAAACAAGAAAAACTTACCCTGAAAACTTCCATCAACACAATCTTCACATTTTCACTGCTATGCTGAACCATCTGGGAATGAATCTAGAGCATCTTGCTTGCCGTTAACATAGAATTCAATTACTGCTAGCATTCTTGACAGTTTGTCAGGGTGGTAATTTATATGAACAATAACTGGCTTGAGTTTTTTCAAATTAGCATCCTTTCTTACAGTCTTAAAAAGGACCTTACTGTTCATGAAGAGATAGAAATCCATAGTTCTCTTGGCAGCATGAAGCCCTATATAACCTGGATGCGATGGGTAGTAGAGCTCTTCATTGAAAACTGCTTGGTCCCAAACGTTTGCCTGGTGAGCCATCCTGTCAGCGACCCGATCCAAAAGCTCAATTGAAGGAATAGTAGGCCTTATATAAAAGAAACCGGAATTATACACCCATATCCTCATTGTGTGGGCATATCGAGCCCAACCCATTGCAGGTTCATCAAAAACATCATTATAGCCATAAGCTGTCATATTGTTATGACCATCTGTCATGGACTCTACATCTGAGTCTCGATACAAATGATCAAATGGATTCTGCAAGAACACGATATCAACATCCGAAAGGAGAACACTGTATCCCAGCTGCAGAAACTCCCTCAAGATTCGGAATTTCAGTCCAGAGACAGCATGATTACCTCCAATCTTTCCAAGAGAATCAACAACTTCATCTGGGTCCCTCTTGTACACAGAGACATCATTTGACTTACAAAAATCCACAATTGCATCATCTAATGCAACTACGAGGTAGTTCCGAATACCAACTTTCTTAATGCTGGTGAACCAGACCTCAAGCATTCCTTTCACGTTTGAATTGGCAAGAGCAACTATGAGCTCTTTTCCAACAGCAACTTCAGCTAAGATCTTTGCAAGTCTGGGGTTCACGCTTTCATCAGGAAGGACGGTTGGATTGGTTCTTAAACCCTTAACTGTACCAAAAGGTCCGGCTTTATGTGGTTCACTCAACACCATAAACTGCTCCCGCGCATGATCTTTTCCCAGCTCGGCTAACCGTAACTTATCATTCAGCTCTCTTACTTGCTTTTTCAGCTCCGCGTTCTTTTCCGACACTCTCATGATGTCCGTTTTCAACATGTTTATTTTTTCCGGAGATTCACACAAGGACAAATCTTCCTATGTACCAAATCAACAATAGATAAAGTATATCTAAAAGAACTTGACAACGAAATAAATTACATTAACAAAAAAGTTATTCATCAACTCAAGCTATATACAGACCATTATTTTACACGTATATATACTACATATCTTTTTAAAATACACAAATAGATCTTCCTTCTCTTTCCTTATCAGTTTCTTGAGGGATTGATATGTCTAGAATAATTACAGATTTTCAAGAAAATGAGAATTAGATCAAAGTCAAATCTTTGAAGTTGCTCTTACAGCTGAAACCTAAGAAACATAGCATAGAAGAAAAGAAACGCTTAAATTAATACAAAATTAAAAATTCAGTCAACTGCCCCCTCAATTTTAAATAAATCACAGCAAAATAAATGAAACCACAAATTGTAGCTCATTACTAATTTTAAAATCCCGGAATTAGAGCTTCTCTAAAGATGCATGAGCAGGATTTAATTTTTAAGTAGTTACACATAAGCAGAATCATGCAAAAAAAGTTAAATAGAAAAAAATAAAATAAAGGAGATTCTTCCAATAGAGAGAACGGTACCTGGAGACTGGATTTGGAAAGACGGCGAGGCGGATTAGAGGAGAGGAATCCGTTGGGGAAGAAGAAGGCGAAAATGCATCCGGCAACAACTCCGATCCCAATTGCTATGGCGATCCGAGATCCTCGTACCGTTGATTGACTGTTCTTCTCCCTCCGACTCACCGCCATTGTTCTTATACTTAATTTTCCCTCAATGAAAATCAAAACAGAATACAGTAAACAACACTCAACCTTGAAAAAGAATACTTCAATTTTTTGAACTCTATATTTTCACCTCGATTTCCTTTATTAAGGAAGTAATAGATAGAAAATTGAAACCTAGAAAATGTAGAATTTATCTTTTGTTCGCGGGAGTAGCGTACTTGTGGATTGAGAGTACATCATCCTATGAGCAGGAGCAGACCAGGAGGTCTGTTACGCTGTTTCGCAGAACACAGGAACAATGGTGGGATTTTATGTACGAACGGTTCAATTGGGCAGGAACCAGAATAGTCAACTTTGAAGGAGTGCTACTTCACGACACCAATGAGCAACTGGCTTTACCTAATGCCTTTGACTAAAATATGCATTATATTTATTAGTAACAATTAATTGGGAATTAATTGTGAGAACGGGCTAATGAAGGTTTTCATAGTTTATTAACATTTTTTTTTCTAAATGGGTGGGTGATATCAATTTGACTATTTTAAATTGGATAAATCCAATATAAAAATTTACTCATTATTTTTGTCGTTTTGGACAAATTTAGTTATTTTTTTATTAAGCGTCCATTTAACCCCCATTACTCTATATTATAATGAAAGAAATAGTAATTTTTCAAAGAACATGGATTAAAAAAGAAGAAATTTTTTTGAACTTATGTGTAATATTATTTTATTAGAGAATATATGATTGATAAGAAGAGACCAAAAACTGAATTATAATTTAATGGGAAATAGTGGGGCCAAACGGGGGCTAAAACGTTTGGTAGATTTAAGCCCCATTTTGCAGGACTTTTAAAAAGTCAAAAATTACTTTTGAGATTAAAAGCTACTTTTAACCCTATTTAAGTAATTTTTTTATTAGAAGAACTTTTAGGAAAGACTAACTTGCCAACAAGCCCCGAGTATTTTCTTCTCCACTGGTTTATATTTATAGGTTAGTCACATTTAATAGATAATACACATGCAATTAATGAAGCAAGAAAATAACAGTAAATGTGTACACCTAAGTAGAACAAAACCTTCTCCTTTTGATTTTACCTTGCAATGTGCATATAAATTAATTTTTCTCCTATTTATCAAGTTCTTTTGAGCAGACTAAATAGTATAACACACAATTTTAACGTTTTTTTCTTTGATACTCTTCATTCATCTCTCTTCATTTATAAGGTGAAGAAAGATGATTCTCCATTGTTCAAAAAGTTGTTGGAAATCAAGGATAGCATTATTGGGCCAGAATGTAAAGTGTAAGCTGGTGTGAACATGTTACTTTGCTGGATGGAAGTTGGCAGACTCAACACTATGGCTGTCTACGAGTTCTTCAGGCCAAAAGGTACTAAGGAAGCTTGGGCAGCTCAAGTTTGGGACATTTTCATTACCCCAAAACATGCTTTCATCCTTTGGTTAGGAGCTCGGGCCAAATTACAAACGAAAGACAGATTGCATCATCTTCAATTGGACCGAAACTGCTCTTTTTGTGGGCTAAAGGAGGAAACTACACAATATTTGTTCTTTTTGTATCCGGTTAGCAAGGGATGTTTCGGAGCAAATCCGTGGTTCTTTGGGTATAAGGTGTAACATGTCTACTTTGTTGAGCTCATTAAAGTGGATAAAAAAAAGGAAGCGCCGGGAACGAGTTGGCAAAGTAAAGGAAAACATATAGCACTTGTAACCACCATGTACTACATTTGGATGGCGAGGAATATGATTATTTTTAAGGTCTTAAGCCACAAGTTGATTCTATCGTAAGACTGATTAAAATACACCTATATAAATTTATGTTTGTTTTGTATCCGTATGTTTTGATTCAATTTGAGTCTCTAGTAGTGGGTCTTTAGACTATCGTTGGCACGTCAGTTTATTTTGTCTATTCGGATATAGCCAGTGGACATGTATTTTTTACTTGACCTTTGCTTGCTCAGTTTACTTGTAAATAAATTTTGGTCTATGAAATTTTATATTTATCGATTAAAAAAAAAGGATTGATACTTAGACAATCGTACTATTGACATCCGAGCAAATATGATACATTTCTTTAATTTTTTTCCCCTTTTCCTTATTCTTCTGTTCTTGGTAAGCATGCACATATTCAAATCGGTCCTTACGCGAGCTCACAGTAACATAAAATATTAGCATCTTCATTTGGCAAGAAAATTAAAGCAATCAACTCTTCAACTAAGATATTAATATAAGCCTGACCAATAAATTCTAGTAATAAACATCAGTGCAGCAATCAAAGTGAAATCCATATCTAAAACAACAGAAAAAATGTGGATTAACTCTATACAACATATTTAACTGGAAGCACTAAATGTACTATGTTAAGACTTGAAATTTCATCTTAAAATATCAATCTTGTTAAAAGAAGTAGCCCAAACCTTTATAAATTGATCTATATTATTACAGTTAATGAAGAATCTCACTCATACCTGTCGGATCATGTTAGAGAGATACCTTCAAAAGATAAAATTCCTTGATTATATATGTCCATGTATATAGGAGATTTGAGTTTATTTGTATTCCATTTTGAACGATTCTTAGCTATAATAATTTACAGAACATATTATAAATACAACACTTTCACCACCAAATGATTTACAGTGGCTTACATACCCTTTTCATGGTATCGGGGCTTTTTTTTTTTTTTTAAATTTATTAAACTCCTTTGATCCTATGGCTATCAGTAACCCTACAACCCTACTATCTACCCTTCAGCACCATGGTTCACTTTCTCACCATCAAATTATCTTCTTCAACGTATCTCCTTTGGTGCAGTCAAGTGTTGCCCCTGCTATAATGCCAGCACCTTCTCGGCTACGTTGATAGCTCCATCGTCGAGCCTCCTGCAACAATTATTTTCGGCACCTCTACTTCTGCCAATCCTAAGTTGGCTGAGTGGCGACAAATAGACCAACTTGTGCTCAGTTTGCTGCTCTCTTCCTTAACAGAGGAAGCCATGTCTGTTGTTGTTGGATCGACCACCTCTCGAGATGTTTGGTCTCGACTGGAGAACACTTTCAGCCATCGCTTGAAGTCTCTTGAACTTCATCTCAAAGACGATCTTTAGACCATGAAGAAGAATGACAAAAGTGTTCCTGACTTCTCACGAGACTTCAAGACTATCTGCGATCAACTTGCTGCAATGGGACGCCCAATTGATGATCTTGACAAGTTTCACCGATATTTACATGGTCTTGGTTCCTCATTTTCCACTTTTTCAACTACTCAGTTATCATTATCACCTCTTCCTGTATTTGATGATGTTGTGCTCAAAGCTGAAAGTTATGAAATATTTGTCCACTCCTGGACTTGTCTGCTTCTTCGAGCTCTACTATTGCAGCTTTTACTGCCTTTCACAATTTCAAATCTAGTTCAACTTCTGGCCATCGTGGAGAAGATCGCTCTTTCCATAGAGGACGTGGCCGTGGCCGTGGCAATCGCAATACCAGAGGTCGAAATCGTCCCATCCACTGTCAAATTTTTCGTGGTGAAGGCCACTATGCCTCATCTAGCCAAGAGCGATATATTCGACCCCCTCCCCCCCAATGCTGCAAACTTAGTTGAGGCATTCATTTCTTGCTCTCTTAATGATGGACAGGACTCTGATTAATATACGGATACAAGCGCTACTACTCACATGACTCATGATGTTGCTCAATTGGACAAGGTTAATGCATATTCTGGTAAGGACTGTATTGTAATTAGCAAGGTGCCTCTCTTCTAATTTCTCACACCGGTACCTCCCCACTTCATTTAAAAGACATTCTAGTTGTGCCTAGACTTACTAAAAATCTTATCTCCATTAGTAAACTTACCTCTGATTTTCCCTTTTCCATTACATTTGCTAATAACCATTTCACTGTTCAGGATCACAACACAAGAAGGATAGTAGCAACCGGTCGCGCGTGGAAATGGGCTCTATGTGCTTGAACGTGGTCATCAATCTTTACTTTCTGTTTTTCCTAATAATTGTACTCGGGCATCCTTTGATTTATGGCATGCCCGCTAGGTCATGTTTCTCATAAAATTATTTCTCTTTTGAATAAAAATAAACAGTTATGTATTACTTCTTTGCTTCCAAATCCTATTGTATGCACTCGTTGCCAACTTGCTAAAAGTAAATGACATCCTTTTTCAATGAATGACAACTGCGCCTCTCATGTCTTGGATCTAATTCATTGTGATTTTTGGGGACCGTCACCTACCCCTTCAAATCTTGGTTTTCGATATTATGTTATATTTGTTGATGATCATTCCCGATTCACTTGGTTATATCCCTTGAAATCTAAATCTAATTTCTTTCGTACTTATCTCCAATTTCAAAAATTTGTTGAAAACCAATTTTCTACTAAAATCAAGATTTTTCAAAGTGATGGAGGAACTGAATTTACTAATCATCAATTTAGGAATCACATTATTTCATCGGTAATTCATCATAAAATTTCTTGCCATATACACCGTCTCAAAATGGATGTACCGAGCTTAAACACAAACACATAACCAAAATTGGTATTGCTATCCTTTTTCACTCTTATGTACCTCTCAAATTTTGGGTTGATGCATTTAGCACTGCTGCTTTCATTATTAATCGCCTGCCAATTCCTCCTCTTGGTGGTCAATCTCCTTTTGAGGTTTTGTTTGGTGATGCTCTATTTTTCATTCCTTTGGCTGCCTTGTTTTCCCTTATGTGATTATGCAATACACAAATTAGCCCCCCTCCCCTTGTAGCCACACGTGTTTCTTGGTTATAGTATGTCTCATCATGATTTTCGGTGCCTTGACCGTCTCACTAATCAAGTGTTTATTCCAAGCACACTACCTTTAATGAACTTGCCTACCTTTATAAAAATAATGCTCGCACTGAGCCTTTATCCATTGCCTCAATCTCTACCTTTTTAGAACCCCTTGCAACCTTAACTCGAAACAAAGGAACACCAGAGGCCTCTTTACCTTCTCAGTCCAGTCCTCTACAATTCCGTGTGGCCCTTGTTTAATTGGTCCATTTTGTAGTTTTGTGCCTCCTTCAGTTTTGTAGGTACTTGTTGCTGATGGACCTCGCCCCCTATCGTACCTGTCTCTCCCACAGGATCCACACCGAATCTCTCTCTAGCCCCGTCTAAAACCAATCTTCTTAGATCCCACCCGATGCAAACACGGGCTAAATCTGGGATTTTTAAGCCTAACACTCAGGCACTTCATACCTATCATGCTCCTAATGCCAATCTTATTCAGTCTTTGCTCACTATGCGTGAACCCAAAGGGTTCAAATCCGTTGCTAAGCACCTTGGATGGATTGTTGCCATGGATGAGGAGCTTCGAGCCCTAAGTCACAATCATACTTGGGATTTAGTGCCAAGACCGCCAAATAAAAATATTGTGGGATCCAAGTGGGTCTTTCGCATCAAGTATCTTTTCGATGGTTCTATTGATCGTTTCAAGGCCCATCTTGTTTCCGAAGGTTACACTCATTGCTCAACACTTGATTTTAGCGACACATTCAGCCCAGTTCTCAAATCCTCTACTGTTTGAGCTGTTCTTTCTTTGGTAGTTTATAATCATTGGTCACTCCGTCAACTTGATGTGAAAAATGTCTTTCTAAATGGTATTCTTCAAGACGAACTCTATATGGAACAACCTCCGGGTTATGTTAACTCCAAATATCCTTCTCATATCTATCGGCTCCACAAAGCTTTATATGGGCTCAAACAAGCTCCACATGCCTGGTTTCATCGTTTTAGCACCTTTCTTCTCACTGTTGGGTTTTCTTGTAGTCGAGCTAACTCATCTCTATTTGTCCTCTCCAAATGTGCTAACTTAATATATCTATTATTATATGTTGATGACATAGTAGTGACTAGCAACAATTCGGCTCTTCTTGATGTCTTTATTGGGAAATTAACCAAGGAATTTTCAACAAGGATATGGGCTCCTTGAACTATTTTTTAGGTCTTGAAGCACATGGGATTGCCTCTGGTCTTTTTATCATTCAAGTTATGTAACACCCCAATTTTCTATAAACTTCGGAACGTTACGAAAAACTCATTTTTCTTTATTTTAAGTGCAAAACTATAAAAACAAAATTTTTCATTAAACAAATAACTGCAACATTTATAAATCTAAATTTAAAATTTGAAAATTTTATCTAAACATAACATAAACTTTTAACTAATTCAAATAACACGTTTGGAATAAAATTAAACTAATTGGTAAATTTAAAGTCGACAAACTCATTTATTTTTCTTTTCATTTGATCCACTTGGCATCCCGCATCACTGTCCTTCCACAATTCCAATCTACCCGAACTAACCTGTAAAAATTTGTAAAAGTAAGTATTCAAAAACACCCAATAAGATACGTACAGTTTTTATATACATATATATAACAATAAAAATTACAATTCATACCATCTAATCTTATGCCTTATGAAGTATATCGGTGACCAAACGACACACCCATCTTAGGTCCTCTTATAATCTCGTAGGATTTCATATCTCTTTTAAAAAAAGAATGTCTACTGACAATTCATGCATTTTTTTATTGGACATAAACGAATAAAGAAACAAAAACACTTGCACTTGAAGTATCTTACATTGTTAGAAAAATCTGAAGCACGTTCAAAATATTTTCTCTGCATTGAAAAATACATGATTAAAATATTCAATGTATGCAAATTTTATTTCCAATGCTACATTCTCTCTCTCTCTCTCTCTCTCTCTCTCTCTCTCTACCTACTGTATGTGTGAATTGGTGTAAGTAAAACTTTTCATCATGCCTATATATATATATATAGGTGTAGGCTAAAGTAGATAACCAAAATTTGATTTGATAGGGCCAAATCTTGCAACCAATGTCTACTCACAACGTATTTTATTATTATTTTATTCAACTACAAGATATTACTATCTCTATCCAACCGTATATGGGTGTATAGTGAATTTTGTTGTAACTAGAATAGTAGAATAGTGAAAACATGTGTCAACGTAGAAATCTCTAAATCAAAACTAACAAATAATGATAAAAATCTCACCTCACATCTTTTCTTTTTGAAGAGAAAAAATAAATTGATTTATAATCTATATAAAATTACATTGATACAATTTTCTTTCAATTGGGTCTAACTTAACATGTCCTTATCCAAAATAACTTTTTCTCGAGTCAAAGACTTCTAATTAATTACGAGCTATCCAACGAGTACAATATTGGTATACTTATAATTGCTCTATCAAAAGCTAATTTATTTGACCCAGATAAAAAAGGAATTTATATAATATACAAAATAAATAAATTTTTATCTATAAAATTTTTGGGTTGCTACAAGCTAAGTATGCTCAAAAAATTTTGGAGCGCGCCAAACTTTTTGACAGCAAGCTTGTGAGCACACCCATGGTCGTTGCTCAACACCTGTCCACTATTGGTCTTGATTTTGATGATCCATCACTCTTCAGATCTCTTGTTGGTGCTCTTCAATACCTTACTATCACTCGATCGGATATCGCTCATGCTGTTTCTGCTGTGAGTCAATATATGCACAAGCTTTCAATTTGTCATTTTCAAGTTGTCAAACAAATCCTACGCTACATCAAGGGAACCTTGCAGTATGGTCTTTCTTTCACTTCGTCCCCTTCCAGTACCATCCTTGCGTATTTGGATGTTGATTGGGCCGATTGCCCTGATACACGTCGATCTATTTCTGGATATGCTATCCATCTTGGTGATAACCTTGTCTCCTGGAGTTCCAAGAAACAACCAATGTGTCTCGTTTGAATTGTGAATCAGAACATCGGGCACTAGCTAGAACTACTGCCGAGGTCAAGTGGCTTGGTCACCTTCTCCGCGATCTTAAGGTGACATCTTCTTCTTCTCCGATTTTACTTTGTGCAACCAAAGCTCCATCTTTCTTGCTACAAATCCGGTCTCACACAAATGCTCGAAGCACATCGAGATTGATTACCATTTTGTGTGAGAATTGGTGGCTTCCAAAGAGCTTCACGTCAAATATGTTCCTACAAATCTTCAGCTTGCTGATGTGTTTACTAATAGCCTTGGTCATCCTGCATTCATATTCCTCCATTCTAAACTCCACATTCGGGATTCTCAAATGCTAGGCTTGCGGAGGGTATTACAGTTAATGAAGAATCTCACTCATATCCGTCGGATCATGCTGGAGAAATATCTTCAAAAGATAAAATCCCTTGAGTATAGATGTCCATGGATATAGGAGACTTGAGTTGATTTGTATTCCATTTTGAATTATTCTTAGCTGTAATAATATATAGAACATATTATAAATACACACTTTCACCACCAAATGATTTGCGGTGGCTTTCATACTCTTATTATGGTATCAGAATCTATTAATTTCTAACGAAAGATTCGATCCGATTTAAAACTCAAAAAATGAGCAAACGGATTTCAAAATTGATATGCTCAAAAGAGTCACCATTTTGTGGGAGTATGTTAAAGGATATAATCCCACATCGAATAAAGATGATAATATAGACCAACTTATAAATGTTTTGGTTACTCTTCTTAACAAGATGGACCTTTTAAGATGGAACCCCAAGTCTTAACATCCTAAACTATAGTATATACAACAAAGTAAAAGTAGTTTCCCAAGTTTGATATGACATATATAAGGATCGTCCAAAAATATAATGCAAGATCTAAGCATTATGTACAGCCACATAGTCGCCTAAATGCAGGCACAAACAGAAAATCTTCCCCCAGAGAGAGAGATCATACATTGTGCTCACTGGCAATGTATGAAACAACTACAGTGATGTCATCCAGTTTTCCACCATAATAACGGAACCCAGCTTCCTGGGCTGCAGCAGAGAAAGGTGTCTGCCTGCTTTTGTCCTGTGCTCGTTGCCGAGCTAATGCTGCAATCTTTTGTGCCGTTACTTGAGGCCCTAAACCAGCTCTCACGGCATGAACCACCACTGAAGTAATATCATTGTTATACAAGTTGTCAAAAAGTCCATCTGTACCAGCAACTATAACATCTCCTGGGGCAACAGGAATTGTAAACACCTGCACCACACATTAAGCCATTCAATTCCAAATGGGTTCATTTCCGAGTAGCAGAGGAAACCAAACTGTTAAACACTAACAAATGCAAAGCATTGATCAACCTTTTTCCCCTGAAGTAGAAATATTGCTTATACCAATAACCAAAGACAATAATAGCACTAACTAGAATTTGTTAAAGACTGCAAAGCTATACAAGGGTGGCAGAAAATATTAGGTATTTAATGAAAGCAACAATCAAAATTCCATCTAAGGGAAATGGTGCTGCGAATATAGTACAAGGCCAGATTTTCACCATAAAGAAATTATTATGAGAACACATAAATTTTAGCAAACATGAATTTTAGCCAATATGTAAAATGAAATGCATGCGTCCTATGCTGTGCAGACTTGGGTATGGTTGTCCAGTGTTAGACAAGAGAGCATGCATCAGTGCAAGTCTGACAAAAATCTATCAAATAATGCTTCAGTTGAGACTCACTAGAAGGATTAATGTAACATAGCATAAGTTTAACACCCTGTTATAGGATGCTCAAAACTATCCACAGTATATTTTAAGCTACCGAACAGCAGTTGTTTATGATGAAATTCAAATGTTAATTAAGTCAAAAAAATAAGATAACTGAACAAGAAAACGGCAGGTCGAAATTATAGATCAATTATACAGTTTAAACTCCGTATGAAAACCAAGATTTTTCATCCTTTCACCTTGGCCAGCACTCATAAAGAGTTCCTATGCAATTAACATTATGAAATACAATTTCACTTGTCTATAAGAGTTTGATTGCCTTTCATTATAATCTACTTAGAATTTAAAGGTCAAAGTAAAACTTTAAGTTTTAACCACACATTTCATAAGACCTATAACTACTAACCATTTATACTGACAATATGATTTCAGCAACTTAGCCCTTCTGCAAGAGTTTGAGAAGTTTCAAAAAATTACTCGCACAAGGGCTCATATGAAACCCAAACAAGCACAAATTACATTTTCTGCAAAATCCTTGCATTACTTTTGCGCTGTCCAACAATCACAGAGCCATTACCAGAGTATAAAAGAAATAGGTCCCATATTACCTCTCCAGAGCTAGGCAAATCTCCAGCATTTCCACTCTCCAGCTGATAAGTGAAATTAAAATCATGCTGCTGAACAGGGGATCTGAAAACTGTACATCCATCTCTGATCACCATAAATCCACTATCTCCTAAATTTATGGCATGGAGACCCTACAGAGGAAACAACGCCAGTCAACTCCGGAATCCCAAGCATTTCATTGTAAATGTGACTGGAAAAAATAAGTATATTCCATGCTGAAAATTCAAATATCTAGATGAAAAATTCAGAGTCGAACAATTTAATCATGTAAATAAACCATAACCTCAGATCTCCAGTTTGACCCTCAAGCCTCTTGTCAAGGTTAGTCAATGATGTTACTAGAAAGTACTTATTTTATCATATTCTTGTAATACAAGTAGAATACAGGACCACCTGATCCGTGAGAGCAATTATACAAGCTGTTGACGAACCCTTGGCTTTCGTGCTTGTGTGAGCTTTCTCCAGGACTCTGGCTGGATCAATTGAACCCCTTGGTTCTTCTTGAATTGCACCGACTGAATTAGACATGAGCTCACGAGCATACTGGCCTGCATCAACTCCAAGATCAGCCCATCCACCAACACCATCAGCTACACCAATTGCTTGTTCATCCAAGCAGATAAAATGAGCATCCTCTCCACTAGTTTCTTCCTTGTCAGGATGGGGCAGGTAACATGATGCTGAATTTAGCTTTAAAGTTCTTTCCATTGGAATCTTCCTGCAATCAACAAATAAAATAATAGATTCACAAATTCCTACAAAAGCAGAGTTGCTTTATATACCACGCACTTCATTTATAAACTAATCATGCACAAAAAAAGAAAAAACCTTTTTTTTCCATGACACAATACATGATTTTCATATTAATACTTCTAGTATCGAATTTAGTGCATGATTGGTAAGGGATTAAAATTATATTTTTTAGTAGATTATGGTAGAAGTTTTTGAAATAGATGGCAAAAAAAATTGTGAGACCTACGAAAGACGTGATTAATATTGATTGTTTGACTTTGACTTTGACTTAGATTAAAATCAGATTTTAATCTCTCCCAAACAAGCTCTTAGTTTCTTTTCTTTTCTTTTTTTCCTGGAGAATATATTAGCAGTGAAACTTATGACTGCAAAATTCCAAACAAATATCCAACAAGAAACTTTCAGAGCTTACTCAATAATTACTTGCTAGTATTAAATGAAAAGGAAAAAAAATTATGATACATATGAAAATATAAATAAACCATACGACAGTTCAAGCAAAATACAAAACATGTTTGTTTTAGCAAAAAAATAAGTCCTCTCCAATGTGAGACCACATCAACTCTAACATACAATCAACTCCGCAAATGCAGAACATGATATGAGCAAATAAAACTTGCTGAATACAATTTGACGTTCACAGTTTCCTAAAGTGACATTTATGGGCACTTTGAAACATTCATCAAATAAATGAGGCAATTACAATCAGACATCTAATTTAGCAACAAACTCTTTAACATTTACAGAAGGAAAGGTGGGGCCTGAACTTTAAGAGTGTGGGTGTGTGTCTGTGAGAGAATTGCATATAACTAAAAAGGAACGTACAGATCAGAAGAATCTGCTGAACTTAAACGCTGACACTCCTGTATGGAGCCATCAAATGACATGTCAGAAGCAGTGCCTGTAGAGGAACACGCCGATGATGAAAAGTGGAAACCATCAAACCCAAATCTTGGGTACGACTTGGAATCTCCCTTTCTCTTCGCAACATTATAAATGAAATATCCATAGAGCAAGAAATTGTTGGGCTGTTCTTTATTTTTCAAGCTCATGCTAGCTTTTCTACAATTATCGAAGCTTCTTCTGCTGTAAGAAGTGAAAGAAAAATATGCTGCCACACCAGGTTGTACAGATCTTGAAATCAAATTTCTAATAGAGCAATCAGCAGGTGCTGATCTAGATCCACAAACAGACATAAGAACCCTTTGAGAGTTGATGCCAAAAGTAATCTGAAAGGTGATAGATAGCCGACGATCAATGTGATACCCACAAACTTGAAATGGAGGCCCAGATACAGACGGTATGGAAACTGCACCACCAACTGAAATATTTTTTCTTCGATTGACTATATGCAAATTTGCCTGAGCAGCAGCAACAGTGCCAGGCCGTAGAAATACATGTAGGTCAGAAAAAGTTCCAGAAGGCACAGAGTGGAACGACTTTGAGTATCCAAGCAACAATTTCCCTCGGCCAATCAAAACCTCTATGGGATCTTGTATTCTGCTTTCTTTCACATTGATTGATCTCTGGACTCCTTGCCAGAAAGATGCTCCAAATCTTGAGAAATAATTAGAGGGCATTTTCACCGCTCAAGGGAAACAATTCTACCACCTGCTCCTTACAGAGGATACAACCACAGGTACCACAAAATAGAGATAATCTCATAATTCCCAGTGCATCTATCTATGAGAATATAGTCAGGATCGCCCTTCCTCTCCACAAAGGGCAACATGCCTGGCATATGAAAGCACAACGAGCAAATATAATGAGGAAATGTCCATAATCTTTGGCTGGTAGAAAAGATGGCAGTAGAGATATATTGGTAATTAAAGTTCGAGTGATTAAAATATACATCAGACACCAAGAATTTATCAGCTATGCTATAATTAGGCAGGAACAACCTAAAACAATGGCAAAAACCTAAAAAAATCAACTTATCAATTGCAAAGACTTTCAGTTTCTATACTCAGAAGTTAGATGACAAGGAGAATCCATCTTTCATTGCATCATTCCATAAGTTTACAGCTACAGTTTACTCAAACTTGTACGATGACAGAAGTAAACAGAAATACAGTAAATATTGTTAGAATTGGTATAGCCCTAGAAACATACAAAGTTAATATGGTTAGAATTCCTATAGCCCTAGAAACATACACAGTAAATATGGTTAGAATTTGTATAGCCTAAGAACACTACACCAGGAATTAATTGACAAGGGAAAAAATGTGTTCTCTCGCTATATCAATTTCACTAAGATCTTATTTATCTGGGTTTCCACCGTATGAACCTTCCATCAGCATTTGATACAAGAATATCTCTCTCTTTATTTTTTATTTTATTTATTTATTTTAACTTAGTTGTTATAATTGGACCTAAGAGATCATGTCCCTCAAGTAAAAATTTAAAGACAATCAAATGTTAACATTTCTATTTGTAATCATATAAGAAACTATTTTAGTACATATATTCCTAAGAATACATAATAACAAAATGAAAGCAAGTGGAATTATAACCAATCACTCAATCCTTATGGGAACTCCTTGAGACCGATGATGAAGATTTATGGGACTTATAACTTGGAAACCCTCATTTGCATATGGATATGTTGCCCTACTTCCCTGGCAGATATATCGTGTAGGTTTTAGTGTGTGCAACACTATTAACAGAGAATCAGAAAAAGCAAGGGAGTTCAAATATCATATTCAACTCACTTCACACCATAGTTTATCAACATCTTCAATAGCTTCACAAAATTTCTTTCCTACAAAACGAATCGAAGGTCAAACCTAATAATCAGCCCCACGAAACGAAAAAATACAAACAAATCTACTATTGCAAAAACTCAATCAATCACGTTTCATAATAAAATAGCCTTTATGAACTAATAGCAAAGTGATTAGAAACCGGACCTTTATTAGTGAATTCAGAAATTCATAGTGTCCATCAAATATACAGCTGCAAATACTCGTTGAACAAAATCCATGAATGTTTCGCGTGTTTGTTGGTAAAGAACCACACGTGCCTCCGATTTCTCTCTCAAAGATCTGGCCGTTGAGTCTGCTGAAACGTTAAATCCAGAAAGTTCACGCGAGAGTGATTTGGTATTGGATAATTGGCAAGCACCGGCAAACCCTAACAGGAAATAAGCTTTGACCAACTACAGAACAATTTGGAAACACCGACTTGTTAATTGGGCGCCCTTCCAGAAAACCTTTTATGTCAAGACTATTTTGACCCTCTCCAATCCCCATTTCATACTAAAACGAGTCCCATTATTTTGATAAAAATGAATTTTTAAATAATGCATCAATGAAAAATATAAAATTAAAAATAAGAAAATATTTTAAATTTACTGATAATATTTTTTTTATTAAAGAATGTATGATTAAAATATGTCAAAACATTCTCTAATAATGTTATTTTTTTAAGGAATTGGAATCAAACGAGGGCTTAATATTCTAGTTAACTCAACATTATCAAATAATAACTTAAAATCTTATCCAAAACTAATTTAGTAAAACCATATTTTAATATTAATTCACAAGTTACTTATTTCCATAAGGAAATGCTCCAATTTGATTTAGATAAAAATCAGAATTTTAACATATTTTGTTAAATGTTGATATAATGTGTACTTGAAATTAATAGTTGACTTTGCTTTATTTTTAATCAACATTTTTAGCTGAACCTACAAAAATAAAGACATGAAGACTAATTACAGATCCAAATATCCAACAAAGCAATTAATGGCTTTTCAAAGAAATAAAGATGGTGGAACGTCGAAAGGTAATCAAAATATACAGATTAGGATTATATTTCAAATGACAACAATGAAACAGACACTAAAATGCAAGTGTGAAACAACGTGTCATAAATCAGTGTACAAATAATAAAGTTCAATTGGTAAGGACCTCGCTACATATACACTATAGTGTACACTCTGCCACGTGACAATAACATATTGGACAGTTTAAATTTCAAACAGTTTTCTCATCCAATTGACACTTGACTACAATGCAAATGTCAACAACGTGTCCAAAATTAGTGTAAAAATAGCAAAGTTCAATCGGTAAGAATCTTGTTATATGTACACTGTGGTCTACACTTTAATTTACACATTACCACGTGATATTACCCTATTGGACAGTTTAAATTTCAAACAATTTTTCCATCCAGTTGACACTTGACAACAATGCAAGTGTCAAACAAGGTGTCGAAAATTAGTGTACAAATAGTAAAGTTAAATCGTTAAGAATATTGCTACATGTATACTATGATGTACACTTTAATTTACACTTTGTCACGTGACATTATCATATTGAACAGTTTAAATTTCAAACAGTTTTCCCTTCCGATTGATACTTAACAACAATGCAAGTGTCAAATAACATATCGAAAATCAGTGTACAAATAGCAAAGTTCAATAAGTAAGAACCTTACTACATGTACACTATGGTGTATACTTTAGTTTACACATTGTCACGTGACATTACCCTGTTGGATAGTTTAAATTTCAAATAGTTTGTTCATCCAATTGACACTTGACAACAATATAAGTGTCAAACAATGTCTTGAAAATCAGTGTACAAATAGTAAAGTTAAATCGTTAAGAACCTTACTACATGTACACTATAGTGTACACTTTAATTTACACTTTGTCACGTGACATTACCATGTTGGACAGTTTAAATTTCAAACAGTTTTCCCTTCCAATTGACACTTGACAACAATGCAAGAGTCAAACGACATATCTAAAATCAGTGTACAAATGGTAAAGTTCAATTGGTAAGGACCTTGCTACATGTACACTATGGTATACACTTTAGTTTACACGTTGTCACGTAACATTACCATATTGGATATTTTAAATTTCAAACAATTTGCCCATCCAATTGACATTTAAGTGTCAAACAACATGTCGAAAATATACGGACGAGGATTATTTTTCAGATGACAACAATGAAATAGACACTAAAAATGACGAAAATATAAGGGTTGTGCTAAAGAAAGTCCCTTCTTCTTCTTCTCTTTTTTTTTTCCTCTTTTATTCTTTTTTTGCGGGCTCCACCCCTATTTGTGGTGTTTCGGTCAGGAAGGTTGCCTCCCTGTTTTTCTGGGAAATACATGAAATTGACCCAAATAAGAGATGTCATTTTCCAAAATGGCCCTTAACTTTTTCAAACATTTGAAACTACCTAAAATTCCTTTAAACAAATATTAAAAACAACCTATTTCATAACGAAAATCTTCTATCTAAATCCTTAAAAAATCAACAAGTAATTTTTCTAAAAATTTGAAAAAATTATTAATGAATAATTATAAAATGAAAAAACCTAAATATAAGAGATGACCATATAATATAAAAAAGGTTATTAAAAATAAAAAAGAAATTAAGTTTGAAAAAGAAATTGATAAGATGGGATATCAAGAACAATTATATGCATCACAAGAAATATTAAAATGTTTCAAAGAAAACTTATTAGAAAATTTTGCTAAATGAATTGTAAGATCAATAATTATAAAAGATATACAAGATATCATAGATAAATTAGAAAAAAAGAAGAAAAATATCTCAAAATACGATATACCTTTAGAACAGACATAGATATGATAACAGATATTGATATTATAAATTCTCAGACACTACTAGACTTTGAAGAATTACTTAAAAATTTATGAGAAAACTACAAGCATACAAAAAATTAATTTTTAATCTCACTTTAAGATTTTATATACGTTTAATAACAAATAGATTAACTAAAACAAAAATAAAAGAATTTTTAGAATATTAGATTATTAGATTTTTAATTATTAGAATTTTTGTTCGCTCATAGTAGCACCCATTTCATTGGTATGAGAGCCATAGAGATCATGAGGAAATATATAAAAATAAATTACCTAAAATATATTGAAAATAAATAAAATTTATGATTTTAGAAATTATTGAAGCTTATAAAAATAGACTAAGGTATCAAGTAAAATATAATTCTAATATAGAAGGCTATATAGAAGAAGATAATATAGTTGGAACAAATAATAAAGACATAAAAGAAGTATTAGAAATTTTTAGAGTAATTAAAAATCTATCTTCAGAACTAAAAGAGAAAATAATTAAAAAGATATTATTTGAAAAATATAAGCATATATATATATATATATATATTAGAAGAAATCCAGAGTGAAATAGATTTCATAGTAATTGGAAAAAAAAATTATTATGGAAATTCTAAAAATAAATAATTATTATCAATGTATTGAAGAAAAATGATGTTATATATTTTTCAACCATATCCCTAATAAATTAAAAATAATAATATTATACGTAACTAGGAATTTACCTAGAGAAATAAAGGAACAAATATTACATAAATTAATTGTAGAATTTATCAAAAATAGACGTACATATGAAATAATTATTGATTATTTGAAAATGAATTATACCATAGAGAAATATTTGAATCGTCATAAAAATATAATGAAAGAAACTAAAAATATTTTAGAAAGAATGTTAAGAAGAATAAGATTAATAAATAATAAAATTTTAGATGAATTATTAATACCTGGAGATATAACTAAAACTCAAGAAAAACAAATATTGAAATTAAAATAAGAAAGGTATAAAAAAAATTAGGATATTATGAAAAATTAAAAGAACTAACAAATATTGAAGTTATAAAACAAAAATATGATAAAATGATAAAAGATTGTAAAAATGCTGAGTATATAGCATTTTATTATTGTCAACCAAAAACTCTATAAAAGAAAATATCAATCAGTGAACATATGGAAGAATTAAAACATTTAATAAGAATATTAATAAATGATGTACAAGAAATAAAGAATGAAATAAAAAGAAGTAAGAAATGATATAAATATATTGAAACTTGAAGTTAGAAAATTAAAAGAAAACGAAGAAAAGAATAATATAATAGATAAAAAATTTATAGGGAAAAAAACATATTGAAAGGAAAAATATAATAATAAAAACAGGAAGCATTGATGATGAGTTTAGAAAAAATATATTACCTAAAATAATAGAAGAAGAGGAATCTAGAGAAAAAAAGTTAGGTAAACAAAAAATTGAAGAAAATCAAGACAAAAAAATGAATGAAGAATTAGATCTACTTATAGATAATTTTGATCATTTAAGTTTAAAAAATATAGATGATGAATACCAAATCTTAATGAATACTGGAGGAGGACCTAATCCCGTAGGAACCTCTAAACAAGAATTAATAGATCCAGATGAAAGTTATGCTCCGATATATAATAAACCATATAGACAATTTCATGATAAAATAAGAGATAAACAATCATCAAAGGAAATGAATATAGTAATAGATTTGAATTAAATAATGATTATGATAAATCTGTTAACCATGGAGGAACAAAATTAGACTTAGATTGCAAAATAGATACTAAGAAAGTCTTAATAACTTGGGCAGACTCAGTAATATTATTCTTTTTATATAACAAAGATGGTACATGAAAAAATACTGAAAGGAGAATAGATTTTTTAATTGCATGTTTTGAAGAAAATGTTAGAAATTGGTGGGAAGGAATTAGTAATGATATAAAATCATTAATAAAAAGAAATGTACAAATAGAAATAATAAAGTCAGATAAACTAGGAATAGAAAGATTAGTAGACTATTTTGCAAATGAATTCTTAGGAGAAAATTGGTTAAAAAATTATGAAGAAGAAGCAATACGAGAAAAAGAGGATGCAATAATTAAGTTGATTAATTTAACAATTTGTGATATGTGTAAAATTAAAGAATATACTTGTGAATTCAAGGATTACTATTATACTCAATTTTGTAGTTATGAGAATCAGGAAGTATATCAAGATATGTATTACAATAAATTACCAGGATCATGGGAATATATTTTAAAATAGAATTTGAAAAATATATTAAAGAAAATATAGGAATACCTAGAACACTAGAATCAACAATAAAGTGTTTGTTTAAAAGACTTGCATATAAATGTCAACAAAGACAATTATTGAAAAAATCAAGAAAACTAACTAGAATATGTTGTGAAGATATGGAAAAACCTACAAGATGGGGATGTAATTCTGAAAAAAGAAATAAAAGAACGTATAAAAACAGAAAATTTAAAAAATATAGAAACTTTAAGAAAAAATACATAAAATTTGGAAGGAAAT